TGCATATGAGTATTCATAGAAGCTTTATTCATAATAGCCCCCAAAGAGAAACACTACAAATGTCCCTTAAAAGTGGAATGGATAAACAAATTGAATATCCATATAATTGAATACTATTCAGTGATAAAAAGAATAAACTACTGACACACAGAACATGGCTGTATACATTTGTCAAAGTCTTTTAACCAGCCTTAAAAATCTATGTATTTATACTTCTGTAAATATATTTATCCATTCTTTTTAGATTAAACAACTAAAGCAAAGAGAAGTTACACGACATGTTCAAACCAGTGAGCTCCAAGTCTTTTAAGTGCAGCATATTCTCCATGGCAAAACAATGAGATTTTCTAAGTCTTTGTTACATTCTGAACAATACAGAATTTAGCAATACATTTTATATAACAGGGATTCTTCTGCCTGTAAGGAAACTACATTCGGTAGCAGTCATTTGATTTCCAAAAGCTGTCTCATTTTATTCATGTATTTATTCAGTAACTTATTCAATGCATTTATTGAGCTCCTACTATGTGCTAGTTACTCTTTTAGGTTCTGACAATGGAATGGTGAATAAAATAGCATATAGCTCCTTCACTCTCCTATCTGTGTGCTACATTATTCACAAAACTCCTTCTAATATATGTCTTCCTGAACTTGCATTCTAGTTAGAGAGACAGGCATAAGATATGTAAAACATACAGCATGTTAGCTAAGGATAGGATTAAGGACAAAAAAATGGAGCAGAGAAGGGAATAATGTAATATATGTATTGCAGGGAGAGAGAAAGTGAAATATTAGATCTTGCAGCCATCAAAAGCTTTACTGAGCTCTTTTTCAGCAAAATCCTAAAAGAAATGAGGGAGCAAGGCATGCAGATCTGAGGAAGAGCTTTCCAGAAAAAGAAAAAGCAAGTGCAAAGAACTTAAGAGAACATAACTGGGCTCAGAGAATGGAACAGTGTAGTTAGAATGGAGGGAGGGAACAAAGAAAAAAAGTAGGGAATGAGGTCAGATTTGGCTTACATAGGGCCTTGCTTTCTTTTTGCCACTGTGTTTTGTGGGTACCACTCCTCCTTCACTATTACTCTTATTATTGGTTAGCCAGCAACAGGAACTAATGAAGAGTAGTAGCCCATCCACTTCCTAGAGGCAAAAAGCTTTGTTCTCTAAAGAACCATATACATCTTTCCTGCCTATAGATATTCAGGTTTGAATATTAAGACACATAAAGTCTGAATGTTACCAGTAGAAGCTGAACAAATGGCTGGCTTTCAAGAAGGCTCGTATTGCAACCTTTGCTTTTATAAAAGTCACTTCTTTCTCTCTCTCTTTTTCCTTTACTCATTTGTTGTGTGTGTGTTTGTGTGTGTGTCTGCTTTATTTGTTTTTTGTGTGTGTTTGGGTTTGTTTTGTTTCAAGTTTTTATTTAAATTTCAGTTAGTTACCACAGGGGAGGTACATGGGGAGATGGGTGAAATAGGTGATGGGGATTAAGGAATGCACCTGTGGTGATGAGCACTAGTGATGTATAGAATTGTTGAATCAGTATATTGTACGCATGAAACTAATATAACACTATATGTTAACTAACTGGAATTAAAATAAAATAAGGTAAATGAAATATTGGCATGTGAAAAAAATAAAGTCACTTCTTGGCCAAAGCTGCACTTAGCCTTGTGAACTTAGAAACTTAATCTTGTTAGTATCGCAGAGTTAGGTAGACATGGAGAAATGCCAGTAGAATTTACAAGAAACTGATGTATAAAATTCAAATACCAGCTTATTAATTTATAATAAAACTTTTAGGGAAGCCACATAACCATGTCAGTCATTAGGGCTTCTTCTGCCTGTAAGGAAACTACATTGGAAGCCAAATAATCACAAGTTTAATTAGTGAGCATGGAAATCAAGCCGGTCATCTGAGTTTGAATGTTCTTGGTCTCTGGCCCTGGGTGCTCAAGGAGCCAATCTCTATATCAGAGTTATACATGTCAGGTAAATAGTCCCTGTCAGCACATGACTCCTTCACCTTCCTAGGTATGGACTGCATTCTTCACAAAACCTCTTTTAATGATATATTTTTTCTTGAGATGTATTACTCTCTTCTGTGACATCTAGCTATGACTTATGATCTGGAGCCTCCCTAACCGGACTTTGAACATCTCCACTCTGATCCACTGTGCATGAATTTCATAGTCTAACTACTGAAGAACAATTTTAGAAACATACTACTATGCAACTGACCAAATTTACTGATTAACCAAAAATCTGTTTTAGTTATTTTATTTCTATGTATATATTCTACGAATAGGAGTATGGACATATTTTGAGACTATACTCTCCCTATGAATATATTCTATTGGATATACCAATGAATATATATATTATATAAATATATATAGTGGATATACATTTTATATGGAAATATATTCAATATTTTAAATATATTTTGAATATAGCTTCATATCTAGTATTAGCTTATACTAATTTATTTCTAATCCTTTTCAAGTCACTATTTTGCCAACATATCAGCAGGCCTAGTTCACCAGTTTCAGTGAATTACCTGAATTTACAGAATTAACAAAAACTGGAGACTTAAGAAGACATAAGATCTATGGGAATTTATGTGAATTTTTAGTTGACAAGTTTTCACTTTGTTTTTATAGGAATACTTTGAAATACTTAGAGTGTCTTGGTCCCTTTTCCCCTGCTTCTGCTGCTGCTGCTGCTGCTACTGCTGCTGCTGCATAATTGTGTTTCAATATAATTGATTTCCTTTGTAATTGTGTATGTTTTATTTTATGCATTAAAAACATTATTCTAAAGTGTCCACAGCCTTCACCATACTATCCATGGCATAATAAAGAACCCATGGCATAATAAAGGCAAAGAAGCTGTGAGCTAAGGGAGGAACTTAGAAACAGAGAGGTAATAACCTTTGCTGAGGGAAAAGCAGAGAGAGTGAAGAAATTTGAACCCTTACACAGCAATCATGGGACTGTAAAAATGGTGCAGTCACTATGGAAAACAGTCTGACAATTCCTCGAATGGTTGAACATAGAGTTACCATATGATCCCTCCTTAGGTATAGACCCTAGAGTGGAATATTATTTGGCAAGAAAAAGGAATGAGATTCGAATACTTGTCACAACATGGAAGACCCTTATAAAGGTTATGCTTTCTTTGCCACATCTATTGCGAGAATGAAGACCATTCTCAGCAATCAGACTGTTGACATTCCAGAAAATGTTGACGTCACCCTGAAGGGACACACTGTGATCATGAAGGGCCCCAGAGGAACCCTGCGAAGGGACTTCAATCACATCAATGTATAACTCTGTCTTCTTGGAAAGAAGAAGAGGCTCCAAGTTGACAAATAGTGGGGAAATAGAAAACAACTGACTACCGTTTACAGGATCTGTAGTCACATACAGAACATGATCAAGGGCATTACACTGGGTTTCCGTTACAAGATGAGGTCGTTGTATGCTCACTTTCCCATCAACATTGTTATTCAGAATGGTTCTCGTGTTGAAATCCGAAATTTCTTAGGTGAAAAATATATTCGCAGGGTTCGGATGAGGCCAGGTGTTGCTTGTTCTGTATCTCAAGCCCAAAAATAGTTAATTCTTAAAGGAAATGACATTGAACTTGTTTCGAACTCAGCTGCTTTGATTTAGCAAATGATAACTGTTAAAAACAAGGATATCAGAAAATTTCTGGATGGTATCTATGTTTCTGAAAAAGGAACAGTTCAGCAGGCTGATGAATAAGATCTAAGATGTCTAGCAACAGAAACAGCAAGATGCCAGATGATTTTTCAGACTTATTTGTGATACCTTAAGAATGCAATAAAAATTATACTGAAAAAAGATTATGCTAAGTTGAAGAAGCCAGTCACAAAATGTATTGTATGATTCCACTTATAAGAAATATCCAGGGGGATCCCTGGGTGGTGCAGTGGTTTGGCGCCTGCCTTTGGCCCAGGGCGCGATCCTGGAGACCCGGGATCAAATCCCACGTCGGGCTCCCGGTGCATGGAGCCTGCTTATCCCTCTGCCTGTGTCTCTGCCTCTCTCTCTCTCTGTGTGTGTGTGACTATCATAAATAATAAAAAAAAAGAAATATCCAGAATAAACAAATTTCTATATAAAGAGAAAAATCAGTAATTGCCTAGTGCCAAGAGTTGAGGTGTGGGAATGGAAAGTCACTGCTAATGGGTAGTAGGCTTATTTCTGAGGTAATGAAAATGTTCTAAAAATTTATTGTGACAACTCTGTAAATATACTGAAACCCATTGAATTGTCCACTTTAAAGGAAGGATTGTATAGTATGTGAATTATATCTCAATAAAGCTATTTTTAAAAGGATGATTGGGCATTTTTTTGTATAGCTAACACTAATGTCACTTTTACTTTCTTCTGACCTAACACCAAAACCCTTGCTCTTTCCACTGTGCTTCATTGCCTTCAGTGTAGTATTGTCTGGCTTAACATAAATATACTGCTCTACTTATTGTCATGACTATATAATCTTCTGGATCTTTCAGATGGATGGGGCTATGTTTCAGTGAATGAATGTTATAGGGAATGAGGCCATTTCTCTTTAACTGGTAACTGCTTTGATAACTAGGAGGCACTCCACCACAGATGCTTTGCTTGGATTCAGATCTCAAACACCATCACTTGTTAGCTGTGAAACCTTGGTTTAATTACTTAAACTCTTTGATCTTCAGGGGTTTTATTTTGTACAAAAATGGAGATAATATCCATCCACATCATATGGTGTTACGATAATTTAATTATACCTAAAAAGCTCTCAGTATGGTTACTAACCTGTATTAAGTGTTGAATAGTTATTACTATTTATTTTTATTACTATTATTATTTACAGTGAGTAATTTCTAATCAAGTGTTTTCTTCTTTAGAGTAGTTAAAAATCCTTTATGGCTATTTACTACTTAACCTACTCAAGCCCTGTTGATGTGTACTCTTCTTTTAATAGGTGCAACATAAGAGATACAGTGCAATTCTTAAGCGTTTGCATTGTCAGCTGAACAAGCTTCAGTCAAATAGAAGACAATGGCAATGGAACATTCACCAACTAGAAAAAACTGCAGCTGAACTAAGAAAACGCATTGGAATGAAAGATTAACATGGCCAAAGGGCAATGTAGAACACAGACTATTTAAAAAAAAAAAAAAAAAAAAGGACAAAAGGTTGAGAAAATTCTTTTGGTTCTTAACCAGCATCCACTACCAGAGGTCTGTCTTAATAACAGACTAACTCTCTTTTTTTGAATCTGTTAATGTGTTTGCTAAAGTGCCTTCCAAGCCTACAATTGATAGCAGTAGGTAGATGATAGAAATACTTATAGAAAAATAGTGGAAGACTCTATAAATATTTGAGTATGTAAGATATTCTGTACTGATGAATGCCTGTTTATAAACATATTGCCTTCACTATCATGTGAAGGAAAAATGTAGAAGAAAAGAAGCATATAAAGTTACAAGATTTAAATTGTTAAGGTATTTTAAATGATTGTTTCAAACTTTTTATTAAAACTTGCTTTTTCACCACTGCCTTCACAGTGGTCCATAAGTATTGATATTTATAATAATGTTGTTGCATGTTCAATGCTTCAGGTATTTAAATGTTTTCTTTTATCCAGAAAGTAACAATTCTTTTTTCTTTGTTATTAGATAATACAATTTTATAGTGTTGTAAAGCATAACACTTTTTGTCCTTAAATTCTTTCATACTATTCTGTGACAAAATTGAAGTTATAACATCATATAAGGCAAATACCAGCTCTTAAAAAAAAGTGTTAACTAGTATAGACAATCGTGTATTTTCTTCTCACTGAAAATCATATACTATGTCCATGGCAACATTTCAAAATTTAACTTCTCCATATGAAGATAAAAGTGCTCCTTCTTGTGGCTCCACTGAATCAAATTTTAGGGACAGAAAAAATATTTTTGAAGATAGTGATTTGTAAATATTTACTTTTAGGATTTAATGCTTTCAAAGCAACATCAAAAAGGTATCTCAAGTCCATTTTCTCCTCACCTTTCTTCGTGCCTATCAGAATAGCTGATATAAAACCTGATATCAATAATCTTGTTATGTCTAACATTAACAATCCTATTATGAATTAGCATGGCTCATTTTGGCAAACACTTCAAATGGCTTTGCTGTAACACAATCAGCTGTGGCGCGCATGACTCAGAAATGCACTTACAAATAAAAATGGTTAAACCTGCAGATTGTAGAGAGTTCCCACTATACTCAGCTGAAGACAAGGCTGAAAGTTTTAAAGGCTGATCATATAAAAATACTTCAATTTAATTTGCATACTTAAAAGGCTATTCTTATAACTATGCTTCATAATTTTATAGTTTATAAAAGAAAAATTCTACTTTTCTAAGCTCTTGATAAGTTTATAACAGTTTTCAAAACATTTGTATGTGATAGCTAACACCTTGAGTTATATTTGTAAAAGTTATTTAAGATATAATGAAAATAGGTTTAATCTGCTTAAGATAATATGCTCTATTTGAGAAAGTAAATTTCAATGCAGTTTTATGAAATACCCATGACAATAATACATGTACCTATTTTAAATTTTGTGACAAATGAAAGATTTGAACAAGAACATTTTTATTTTCCTTGCTTCTTCTAATCTTGAAAATCATTTCAGATGATGGAGGCTTTCAGATTAACCAAGAAGAACTAAAACTTGAGGTATCCTCAAGCCTGATCATGTAGTTAAGTGGATATAGTATCTCAACATGGTCACAAACTCTAAAGTTAGAAAATGGATTAATTCTAAAAATCTCAATATAACTGAACCTAGCTTAGAATATGAGTTCTTCTGCTTAGTGGCCTTTGTCACATCCTATTTGGCCTTAGAACTCAGTTTTTTTTTGGGGGGGGGGCTATCATTCAATTCAGAATTCTCCTCCTTATTTTCTTCCTGGCAGTAAACTGAACTCCTGGGACAAGGATTAGGGGAGCACACTTAATATTGTTTTGTCATGGGGGAAGTGCCCCGGTGCAAGTGCCATTCTCATTGGCCTCTGCAGAAGTGTAATCCATCTTCTTGATCTTTAGCATTACCTTTTGTTTATGCTATACCTGCAGTGTTTTCTCTAGGAAATGTGGTCAATCTCCTTACTGAATCACAAGGCCTCTTCTGGCCATATTTAATTCTTTTTTTTCTATATCCAGGCCAAATTTTTTTTATAAATTAATTTTTATTGGTGTTCAATTTACCAACATACAGAATAACACCCAGTGCTCATTCCATCAAGTGTCCCCCTTAGTGCCCGTCACCCATTCACCCCCACCCCCGCCCTCCTCCCCTTCCACCACCCTTAGTTCATTTCCCAGAGTTAGAAGTCTTTATGTTCTGTCTCCCTTTCTGATATTTCCCACACATTTCTTCTCCCTTCCCTTATATTCCCTTTCAATATTATTCATATTCCCCAAATGAATGAGAACATACACTGTTTGTCCTTCTCCGATTGACTTACTTCACTCAGCATGATACCCTCCAGTTCCATCCACGTTACCTCTTTGGCACTTGCAATTCTACCCATGCATTCTTTTTTACCCTGATTCCCAGTATAAGATACATCTTTCAAGTCTCTCAGTGCGTTGGGGCTCAAAAAATTCTCTCTCAAAATGCCCCTTTTCTGCAAAGGAAAGCTATGATTTCAACAATTGTTTCTATTACAGACTTTATTTTTTTCTTTTTTTTTCTATTACAGACTTTAAAAAGCATAATGTGAAGCTCAAAGCTAATAAATGACTTATTAATTCTGAGTAGTGTCTGTCTTGACTCCAGCCTTCTAGGTTCTATTTCCTAAATGATCAGGAAAAGGTAACTAGTGCAGGAAGAAGTGGGAGGGAAAAAGCCTATATTAATATATAAAAATATTACTTACTTCATGTGCAATCTATGGGCAAATTTTAGTTGCCCAATGTGAAGAAATTGATATCTCCTTTTAAGCCATATATTAACAGTGGTGATTTCCATTGTCAAAGCAGCCATCATGGACACTGTCATGGCTAATATAAATGATCTATATGTTATCTGTTAGGCCATGTTCTTCCAGTCAATTGATTAATCATGCTATTTTCCAAAGCACTGCAGATGTGAAATAACAATACTAATAACATACTAAGCCACTATGCTGTGTCCTATTTGGCAATTTGTATACATTAATTCATTTACAGAATAATAAATGGCTTAAAGTATATATTATTATCCTTGATTTACAGATGAGGAAACTGGGGCTTAGTAACTCACTTAAGATCTTTTTTTTTTATTTTATTTATGATAGTCACAGAGAGAGAGAGAGAGAGAGACAGAGACACAGGCAGAGGGAGAAGCAGGCTCCATGCACCGGGAGCCCGACATGGGATTCGATCCCGGATCTCCAGGATCGCGCCCTGGGCCAAAGGCAGGCGCCAAACCGCTGCGCCACCCAGGGATACCCTCACTTAAGATCTTATCACACAGGTCATCAGGGACAGATTTGAAATTCATTGCCCTATTTTTTTAGCTACATAAAATACCCTGCAAGAAATGATTCCAAGGTAAGCCTCAATTTTACTATGAATAAATAATTATTTGTATATCTAATCAATCCTTTTAAGAGATTACAAAGCATAAGATGAATTTAACTAAAGAGAGAAATCTTATAGTTAAAAAGAGTTCCAGGGGTGCCTGGGTAGCTCAGTCGGTTAAGTATCTGACTCTTGGTCTCAGCTCAGGTCATGATCTTAAGGTTGTAGGATTGAGCCCTGGGTGGGGCTCCACAGTCAGTGTAGAGTCTGCTTGGGATTCTCTGTCTCTCCCTCTCCCTCTACCCCTTCCCTTTCTTCCTCTCTCTCTCTCTCTCTCAAAAAAAATAATCTTTCTTTAAAAAGGGGGGTTCTACACTGGTGAACAGGTCCTAACAAGTGAAAAGCTGACAAGCTGAAAAATCAATAACTCCATTTGGATCCCTAAGAGAGGTAAGGACACAGGGAAAACCACTGTTTATGAAATCAGGGAGACAGGTGAGCAAATACAGGGAGTCACAAGACCAGAGCAGAGACTCACAAACCACCATAGGAAACAGGTCAGCACAGGAAAACCTAACTGCAATTGATACATTTCTGAAGTCTTCGTATGGACAACTCTGTGTGACAAACGTTAGGGAAACCCAGGCAGAGAGGTCCCCACAATATTGTGAGATTTACCTTCAGATAAGAATTACATCTGACTTATCCTCAGAAACCATGCAAGCAAGAAGAAAGTGATGTGAAATATTTGAAGTGTTGAGAGAAAAAAAAAAAACACAAACAAAACTCACCAACCTAGAATTCTGTACCCTGTGAAATTATACTAGAAGTGAAGGAGAAGAAAAGACTTTCTCAAACAAATTGAGGGTATTTGTTGCCAGTAGACCGGCCTTACAGGAAATGTTAAAGAAGTTCTCTAGAGAAAAAAATATTATGTCAGAAACTTAAACCTACATGAAGTAAGGAAAAGCATCAAGGAATAAGTGAAGGTATAAGAAAAACTTTTGTTTTTCTTATACTTAGTATTTTGAACAAACTGTTACCTGTTAGATTAAGTATATTAGCAACAAAGTATTCAAATATACATGTAATTTATGTATATGCAAATATTTATTAATATTTTTATATTTAAAATGAATGATAGCAATGACACAAGGTATGGGAGGAAAGAAGATTATTTTATTATAAGGTATTTATACTACGAGTGAAATAGTATAGTGTTATTTGAAAGTGGACTTGGATTTGTTGTAATGTATATTACAAAATCAAGAGCAACCACTAAAAAAAAATTAAAAAGAAGTATGACATTCTCCAAGAAGAGAAAATGAAATCATATAAAATGCTTGATTAAAACTACAAAAGGCAGAAAAAGAATGAGAGACAAAAATTAGGAACCCAAAACAAGAGCAACAAACAGAAAATATTAACAAATAGGGGAGGTATGAATCCAACTATATCAATTATCACTATGAATGTCAATGTAAATGCAGAAATCAAAGAGATTATCAGAGTGGATCAAAAAACAAATTATATATCTATATGAAACCACTTTAAATATAAAGAGACATACAGATGTAAAGTAAATGGATAGAGAAATATACCATGCTGACAGTAAAAGAACAGCAGTAGCTATATTAATTTCATAACTCAGCAGACTT